GTATGGGATGGCATCCCACTTTTGAGCCACAGCCAGATGGTCAGGCCAACGTCGGAATTTCCTGCTCGTCCAATCCCATGTCATTCAGCGTGAAATACCATTGCTCATGTACAACATATTGGTGCCACCCTACCGAAGTCCTGTCCGAAGATTTGGTACAGAAGCCATTGGCTTCGCCATGCCTCACGGCCGTGGCCGCACAAAAACCCGACGTGGCCGCAGGTCTGCAACAGTTCATGCTGACCCTGCAGCTAGCTGCCAATGGAAACCAGCTGGTAGGGTCCTTAGCAAGCTGTCAAATCTCAACGCATTCCGCGGCTCTGCCATGCTCTGCCTATCCTGCACTGAATTGGTAAAGAAAGATGCAAGAGGTGCTAGCGCTCCAAAATGACGCATGTGCATGTTCCTCCTGCTCTTACATGGTTTTCATGACTATTTCCACCCCGAGGGCACCTCGTCAAACACGACAGGTGACCATCCGCTGGCTCATGTCCCATGTCTACGGTGACCCGGCCATCCTGGCGGGCGTCCGGGCAGAAGTGGAGGAGCTCTTGGCCAAGAAGGCGTGGATCGGTGCTGAGCAGGATCGGCCGTGCAGGATAGGCGCCCAGTTTCAAGAATCTGCAGAGCATTCGACCTCTCATTCTCTGGGGTTTGGTGTTTTTGTGCCATAAAGCCACAGGCTGAGACGGGCGGAAAATAGTCGGGGCGGCCATTTTTCTTCAACTCGCTGGCGGCCAGACCGGCGGGTGTTCGAGACATTCGTGAGGCTTGCGGCATTCGTGACTTGAAGCTGGACGATCTCTTGAGTCTCAACTTGCCGGGCGGCCGAGTCCAACGCACCGAGTCCAAGCGAACACGTAGCCGGACGGCGACGCGACGGCGGGCGGGAGCCAGGACGAATGCTTGCATCACCGAAGCGGTCCGCTTGCATAGAAGCTTGGGCAGCAAGATCGACACGTCACATGTCCAAATAAAGGTTGGAAGAGAACATGAGATTTGGGTCTATATTATATATATATATAAATGCAGTTGCAGTTCAACCTCTTCTGGCGAAGCAATTCATGGCCGAGCAAGCTGGCAGCTGTGCTTGAACTCAGGCGATATTCCTTCGAAGCTTACGCTTAGATCAGCTGCGCCCCCTGTGGTGTCAACTTTTGCTGTGGCTCTTTGGTAGTTCGTGGTGCAATGACTATAGTGACTCGAGACTCAGCAAATTGCCTCTGAGCCGAGACAGCCATACCCAGGCCGAGATACCCATGGAATTTGGAGGCTACAAGATTCCTCAGGGGGTCGTAGCCTTGGTCATTTGTCTATTTTTTCGAGCATATTTCTTCACGGGCACTTGCGGCACATGTTCGATGGTCCGAGATCTATGTTTTTCCCTTGGTTTTTCATCTATGTATCTCCGAGCTATACTTTTTCTTCTGCTTGACCCGAGTGAATGTGAGGGATCAAGAGACCTGTGCCGTGCCATGAGCTATTCTTTGTGCTCAGCGTCTGTCCTGTGGTTGATAGACTGGGAGAAAAGAATGTCAACGATCCGCTTTTCGCTCCGAACGATGCGCAGAAGGGAGCGGACTCCGCGTCCGCCTCTTCACGAGGCCACCATCTTCTTGTACGCGGATGCCGTTCACAAGGAGGGGCGGTGGGGAGAAGCGTTTGACCCGCTTCTTCCGCGGGGAAGCTTTGATCGGACGAGCGGAGTTGTCAATTGACTGGGAGAGCCCTTCCATCAGCGAAGAGTTTCCACCATCCGCTGATGGCGGCAGGATGAGAAGTACTTCCCGGATGCTGCAGCCTTCTGTCCTCATCGATATACCGATCCTAAGGTGTGATGAAACTCTGCTTGGGCTTGGTGACGTAGGGTCATAAAAGAAAAGCCTGATGCAGCAGATTGGTGTGCCCTGTATGGGGACCACGGCAAACACCATATAACTAGAAGTGGACTTGTCCCCATTGGGGAGCCCAAGACATGCAGCGCACAGAGCGGTGTGAGGCGACATGTTCATTGTCCTTGTGCTGCCTTGCAAAGATGAATGGCTCATGGTTCTGCAGGTCTTCAATCAGAAGATGATGGACAGAGAATTCGTCACTTTTGGCCATGGCCGGAAAAGATGCACTGGCGAGTTGCAAGGGGCCCCAGTACTGCACAGTGAAGGGTGTGTCAAGATCTTGGTGTGTATTTCAATAGGGAGACAGGAAGACCCCCGGGCCCTGGCTGGGCAGACTCGCACTGGCGACCCCACCGGCGACTTCGTCGGACGATTTCTCGTCGTGACGGAGGCATGCCAGATCGCAAATCTCGGCGCTTCTGGCTTCCTTTGTGATGCGCTCCTTGGGCTGTCAATGTGCTTTTTGTGGGTGTCACCCAAAAAGAGGTTCTTTGGAGGAAGGGTTACAATGTTGTGCCAATTCTTGTTTTGGAGAGAGCATCCGGCAACATCCTCCCAAAACTGAAAGAATTCGATAGAGAAGCTCCCAAGCGGTGCGAAACTGTGCTTTCTGTTCAACTGATCCAAACATCGACCAGCATAGCTGCGAGGCTTTGACATGGACCTGGTCACCAGCGCGGAAGGCAACAAGATCCCAGAGGAGCGGAGATCAACCAAGAGACCATGTAAGTATATGTATATATATATATTGTTCTATATATTGTTTATTCTTGGAAGGGAAGTAGCCTCCCCCTCATGTAATTCGGGTGACCCCAAACAGAGATCTTCCACTTGATCTCATCACTTGATCTTAAAGATGAGTCGATGAGTCGATGGTCCTTTCCAGGATCACGATGGCCCTTTCGTCTTCGACACCGCCAATACCCTGAAGCTGGTGAACTTGCGACCGAGAGCAGGTGGAACGGCGCCGTCCCGGTGCAGCGCACCGAAGCGGGGGACGTCCGCCGCAGGTGACGTGAGTGGCTCCAAGACGGCGGTTCCATCGGTGGCCACAGCAGCTTTGAGCGGACTCCGCTGGGAATCTCAGGGGGCTGGCGTTCCTGGGTTTCCTGGAAGGAGCCATGAAGCAGCGAGGAAGGAACTCGGAACCGAAAGGGAGAAGATTCCTTGGATCCACGGAATCCGAAGCTTTCACCTCTTTAGGTCTGTGAACATTGAGTACTTCAACCTGAAACGAGCCAAGCAACCAGAGGAGCAGCGCGAGCAGCGGACTGAGGCCAGCCTCCCAGCGCATCGTCCGGATCCTGTCCCTTCAGCAGCTTGGGCGTCCTCATCCTCGCGTCATGGGTTCCCCGCGTTTTCGGTTGGGTCATCGAGGCGTCCGGGATCTAGGCGCCCCTCACTGGGATGGGGATGGAGGTGGAGCGAGAGCGAGCGACGGGATGACAGCGAGCGACCCGGAAGCGGGAGTGGCGAGGGACGAAGAACTGGAGTGGCGAAGATGAGAACGGCCTGTGAGTCAGTCATCTTTATTTCATGCTCAAGGGATCTTAAAGCGTTTTCAAGGTTTCCCTTGAAAAGGACGAGTGGCCCAAAGGCCCAAAGCGCTGGTTTCCCACGTCTCTCTTTTTGTCCCGTGGCCGACAGCCACATGTCTTTTCCTGTTTCTTTCCTAATCTTTTCCTGTTGCATTCGGGGTTCTAGCCTCGTGCTGGCTTGTCTCGACCATGAGAAATCTCGGCCATATCACTGAGGTGGTCTCTTTGGAAGCAAATCGTGAAGCGATCATCTTTTTTAGAGCTCTAGTGGTTTGGCCGGTGTTGACCGGTAAAGAGATCTGCACATCAAGAGACATCGCTTGACGAGAGTGGTGCAAAGTGCTTGCGAAAAAGGTCCCTACCGGGGCAAATGCACACAGAGAATGGGTTGAGGTGGCTAGGTGTATATGACAAGCCAGACTGTGGAAGCGTCTGACGGTGGGATGGTTTCAACTGGAGACAGTCAATTTCCGAAAAGGGTTTCGTGTCGTTGACCACCTCACGTCTCCAAAAAGTGCCAATGATATAGCCAGAGTGCTGATGTACGAAGAACTGCACTCCGTCCTCACGAGCTGCACTCCATTGTTTGCAGAAGAGAGGGGTCCTCTACCCGGTGCAGTCTTTGTGGCCTTTGTTTGTACCTCGAAAAGTGAACTGAGACGTTTGGAGTGCAGTCTTTGTTCCCTGGAGTTGGAAGGGCCAAGGCCAAGGGCGGTGGCTTGCTACTTAGAACCGACCAAAGCGACCCCACAACTTCGTATTGCATATGAGCTCAAAGGGCCTCTTCTGTACAAACGCCTCGAAACAGACAAGACAATCCCTGCTGCGCCACAGCAGAGCTTCACCGGACAATTCCAACAAAACACTTCCGCATGGAAGAGGAACTGTTGCAATTGATCCATCAGATCCCAGAATTCAAGTACTTCCAGGCAACAAGAAGTCTCTTCGACTGCAATTGGAGACCTTTCGCATTGTCCTCAGACATTTGTAGAATCCTTCTCAGGAATCAATATCATTCCAAGATACAAAAAACAAGGCGCACGTAGTCCTGAACGATTGGGATTTGAACGACAAATATGTGCAGGTATTCATTGACCAATAATTCCTCTGCCAAGAGAAACCACACACGCAGTTCTAATAACCAAAAACGAAACCAAAAAGGCACCCGCAGAAAAACCAGCTCACAGGCCTCGGCCTTGGCCAGTTGGACTCCTCCGGACCCCCACGGGAATTCCCCACCGCTTAGGAGCCGGGTCTCTGGCGCCTCGTTCGGTCCGGCGGAGGGCAGAACCGGACAGTTCGGTCCCCGTGTTGCCGTTGCGGCTCAAAGCACAGCGCTTTGCAGCTCAAAGCACAGCTCGGCTGTTGGCTGTTGGCGGGGCTGCCTCCTTCCGTTTGATCAGCCCATCGCTTTTCACTCTTTGAGCCCGAAAGTGAGATCAGTGTTCACCAGTGAGACCGAAGAACGGCGGCATTACAGAGAGAACGGCAAAGGCATTTGGGTGTTTGTGAAAGTGAGATCGGCCAGTATATCAGAAGCAGACTTCATCTACGGCGGCTTTTCAATCGGGGACCCTCCCTAACCAACATCCAGTTCTGGTAGGTCCTTTTTCATGTTTTCCCTTCGCTTGCTGCCCCGATGGCAGCATGTGGCGAGATCAAGGCTCTTTGGCCGGAAACATGGTGGGACCTCATCCGTTAAAGAAAAGGCATTCCGCGAACTTTGGGGCCTCCATGCCTGCCAAAACAACGGTGGCTTGTGTTAGCTCTGAGAGGCTTTGAGCCTGCAACATGAGACAAACTTCCTTGGCAACAACAGACCGAATGGGGGGAAATCCTGATTGTGAGACACGCTCGTCAGGATTACAAACAAACTGCCAGGGTTTCTTAGGTGCTGAAAGGTGTTCCAACAAATGCCCCTAAAGGATGTTTCTTGGATTCACACTGATTTGTGTCGTATATGTGTTTGCAGACAGGCAAATCAACAGATAAATCAACATTATATATCGCACCGGCAGATTTCACCGCACCGTGTCAGAAGTGCCAGGTGCCGCAGCAGCTGTTCGAGACCGACCGGACGTGCCGGGCCATGGGGCCATGGGCTAGACCTCTCGAGGTATCGGCCGACTGGTGTTGGCTTGAGGCCGACCGGTGTTGGAACAAAAGACTCAAAGGAGAGAAGCTGCAGGTGATGTGCTTCGTTGGAACACAAAAAGGGGGTGGAAATTCTTTCCGTTCAGCTGGTCGTTGGATGCCAACACTCGTGGTTTCCAACATACAACCATTGACGAGGTCGGCCACAGGCGATCATATTCAAGATTGTAGTATTTTCGTACAAACTATGGTTGATAGTGATATTGAATATCCAGCTTCAGATTATGAGACATGTATTGCATTATGAGACATGTAATGGTCCTCAATACATAATTTATATTTATGTCAAATTAATGATACAACAAGTTGGAGGTTCAGTACGTTCATTTCAATAGTTTTGGCCATGTGACGGTGTGTGGAGCAAAAACGAAACGAAGGAAGACCCTTACGACGAAGACTCGTGTGTTCTGATGTTTGCTGACGAGGCGTCGAAACTCAAGCAAGAATCTGGGAATATTCAGACTTCGACCTGCCGCATCCTCTTCTTCCTATTCTTCCCACTGTCCTGCTGAAAAGGACCAAGTTTTATCCTTGAGACCTGAACTAGAACCAGACCTCCGTGAGGTTGGTCTTTCTATCTTGAAGATCCGGGACCCCTCCCCTGGCGGCCACCGGCCGTCAGGCTGGGAGCTGACCTGCGGCGGCTGTCGGACGTGGCGAAGCCGCCGAGTTCGGTACTAGCGCAGACCGCGGCCGGGCTGGGGGTCTTCTTGGGCTTTGATGCTGCGGTACGCTGGCTCATCGATACGTCCGAGATGAAGACACTACCTTCCCAGATTTGTAGCATCTTGGTGCAATGAGCCAACTTACTTTTCGTGACCTCTGGGAAAAGTGCCGTGATCATCTCAGGTATGCTCAGCGCATTTGGTGGGCTTTCCCTTGCCCAAGTGATTGCTCCAAGCAGCACGACAATGTTGCACCAGGCCTTGCTACCAGCGGTGGCTTGGGTTGGCCGGTGGTTGCCGGTGTTTCTCGTGCCGGTGCAAGTGATGCTGCCCACAATCAACTTTCCAGGCCAGATGTGTGTGACGTGTGTTGTGTTCAACGAGACAGCACTGGATTTCTTTGTTCGTTTGCGCTGCGCATGGATTTAACATCGTTTTCCTTTTTCACCTGAATATTTGCATGCGGACCTTTTGGGGCAGATGGGGTAGACTTTGTAGAAGATGATTCTTCTCGAATCCAAGCTTGCAGAACCCATCCCATGCAGGTGGACTGGCGGAAGCCGGCGGACTGGCCATTCTCTTAGGGGCTGGCTGGTTTGGCGCCGTCGTTCTTGGGGCCCGCCTGGTCGGCGTGCTCTCCCACCAAGCCATCACAGCACCTGCTGCTGGCGGCCGAAGCGCCGTGAAGATGGGTTTGTGGCTGCCCTTGGGTTGGCTGTTGCTGGCGGCCTTGGTGGCACCTGCTGGGGTGAAGCCCGAAGTGATGGAAGCGCTGGTGGTCGGCGGCGGCGACGAAGAGATGGCTCGAAGTCTACGGGGTTTGAGCTTGGCCTCGGTGGGGGTGGGCAGCTTCGCCCTGGCCATGCGACAGGCAGGGGCAAGGGCCGGCGGGATCACACGGTCGACGCAAATACACCGGTGAACAAATCAAAGGGAAAGAAAGAATCGCAAACTCTCTCTATTTGGCAAACTCTTTGTTTCTTTCTTGGGTTCTACCGAGTTCTACCTTCCTTTTTCATTTGTTTCAGGGTTCCTTGGTGTTTTCACCGACTCAGGGCTTGCCTGGCCATCTCTGCTTCTTGGCCAACGGAGCCGCCACCATTGCCGTGGCCGCCGCCATGGCCTTTGCGCGGAACGAGAGCTACAGCCAGGTGGTGAAGCGCGCCTCGGTGGTGTTCCGCGCGGAGTTGGGGTGGAGTCTGCGCACCCAAACCGGAGCGGTGACCCCTCTAATTCTTGCTTCTGGCTTTACCTGACAAGACTCGGTGCCTGAAATCGAGAAGTTCTGAACATCACCTGCTCAAGACTTGCTGAACATTGCACCGCTCCTCAACGTTTCAGCCCCGCTTTTCCTCGGGTTTTCAGCCCCTTTGAAGCGCCGCGTGCGGCGCGTGGGCTGACGAGCCCGCGTGGTGCCGTGAGGTGACTATTTGGTTGGTGCCAATGGACCGCCCGGTTCAGGGGACCGATTACTGTGGTGTTCCTTGACCTGTTACGTCAAGGTGAAGTATGACGGGTCGAGTGAAGCATCCGTTGGGCATTTGTAGATGTTCCTCCAAATCCTTATTTAAGCCATACCTTGGGACCTTGCGTTTGACTATGATTTAACATGATTTAACATGCAGTTGGTCGAAAGCGTAGTGAAAAGCAGTCATCCACCGGATTTCAGTAAAGAACAGCTTAGCATGAACAATAGGTTCCAGTGGGCCGAAGGAGATGGCTCTTGTGAACTTTTCTGCCGGGATGAGCAGGATAGTCTCCCGCCCAACATGGTGGGAGTTGGGACAGGAGCAGCACAGGTCCATTTCAGGATTCCTCTCCTCACCTTTGAGGTTTGGGACCTGCTTTGGTGGCCACTGGAGTGCAGATGTTTCAATATCGCCCAAACCTTAGGGTTTGCTGTTATTTGCTTGTGAGACATGCACAAGCAGTGGAGCGAAACTGACACTCTCTTTTTCCCCCACATGGTTGTTTTCTGCACCCGCCGTCTTCCCGTCACTCCGTCTCCTGCCCCCTCCCTCTACCACTCACCTGACACCACACATTAACTCCTCTCTCACCACTCATCTCACACGTCTCACACGTCTCACACGTCTCACACCAGTACTCAGAGCTTCCCGGCGGACTTGCTGCGCGCTTGGGTCGCCGGTTGCCGGAGGCTTGTCACGTGGCTTGTCACGGAGGCCGGCGCAGTACTCGGAGCCTCCCGCGGCCGACCTGTTGCGCGCTTCGTTTGCGCGCTTGGTCGGGGTGGCCGCCGGACGGCTGCTGCGTGGCAGGCGCACTCTCACTCTCTCACTCTCTCACTCTCTCACTCTTTCACTCACACCCACACTCACTCTCACTATCTCTCACTCACACTCACTCTCACACTCACACTCACATTCACACGCGCACTCACTCTCACTCTCACTCTCACACTCACACTGATTTTACTCTCACTCTCACCCTCTCACTCTCTGACCCTCTCACCCTCACTCACGGTGCGAGTGCGAGTGCGAGTGCGAGTGCGAGTGCGAGTGCGAGTGCGAGTGCGAGTGAGAGTGGGTGAGAGTGAGAGTGACAGTGTGAGAGCGAGAGCG